TTCATGATATGCAAACGAGTCTATTGTTTTGTGCATTATGCATAAAATTCTTTTGTCTTGTCTTATCGAGACCCTACTAAATAATTTCAGTTTTGAATGGAAGTCGGCCATACCGGTATATGAAAGAAAGCTTTGAACTATTTTGCCCTAGTTAGGGGTACACATTTTTGTTCATGTAATAATGCAGTTCACATGACCTGATGTATTGTTTTTGTTTGTAAAGTTGAAACTGTGTATAGTTTCTCAACCGCGTTTTTTGAGAACCTTGGTTTTTCGTTGTTTTCGTTTACTGTTTAGCATTTGGGGGAAATCACAAGCCTTTTTCAGGTGCGCTCGATTTCCACGATCTGTCTATAGAAATACAAATAATATTTTCTATCAAACAATTCCATTAAAGTCAACCCCTGTTTTCTTTTCAAAGTTTAAAAAGTTCAACCACATCGTTCCCAGGGTCTACTTCGACCTCGTTGTCAATAGGAGATAGCGGCTCGCAGAAGCGTACTGCTAAACGCCTTGGGGACGAGTTTAAAGTTCCACCAATCCCGCTGTTCGAAGCCATTTGAACGTTACTATTGTTCGGGCGCATTTCATAATGAACTCTTAACCAGAATGGCTCCGTGTTATAACATTTTCCTGTCTCTGTCCCTTTAGGAACCGAGCAGATTGTGTCATTGGCCGCCGTGTCAGTCCACCGATGCTGCCTGGTGTGCGTCCCTTCACTGCCCAAAAGATGACCACGCGCCTGGCCTTGCTATTCATTGCCCTGACGTGGGCCTACTCCTTGATTGTATCACTGCCTCCAGCTATAGGCTGGAATTCATACGTCTTGGAGGGAACCGGAACAGGTTGGTAAACAGTGTATTTATGCCCTTAATCATTTATTCTTGGTCGAATCCAGGGGCGTATCGATGGGGGCGGGGTCGATCGACACCCCCCCCACCACCACCACCACCACATCCCGAAAAGCCAAATGGCAATTAAAGCTATTTAATGGTGGTAAATCTAACAGTAAAAAAAAACGCTTGAAGAAATCGCTGCTGCTACAGAAGAATTTCGATCAGCGCAACTCTGGAACGCTTGTCTATCTTAAACGGTGTTAAAGGCTTTCACCCTTTTGTTATTTAAAATATTGAGATCCTCTTCTTCTGAGTTGCCTGAAGCATCGTAGCCGGAGAGAACTGGCCGGAATCGTCAATCAATTCACGATTCCAGTGAACTCGCCGACCTGTCCCTTGCGGGAATTGATTGAAACTCAACGCCGTGCTTCAACCAATCTTAAGCCAGCGTTAAATGCTACTATAGCACTGTTCACAAAATGTATTATCCGCCGTCGTGACATTTACGTTGGGATCCCGTCTCCGTGTTTTTTTCCTGTATTAGCAAAGCCCTCAACCTCGTGTACAGCAACTGCAGTCTCCAAACCAAAACGCTTATAAGTGTTCCACAGCATTTCAGCTTCAAAATGCAGGTCTTAAGTGCAGAACAAATAAGTGCAAAGTGGAAAGAAGCGGAGCACAGTCGAGACGTGCAAACGGAGCAAAGCACCCATTCTGGAATTTGTATCCTTGTGGAGACATTTCTTTGTTCTCGTGTAGTAAAGTTTTCGAGTTTGAAATTGCAGTTTCAAAATGCTTTTATTTTAACCAGAATTAATCTCCTGGGCTGAAATTTGGACTAAATATCCCTTTTTCTAAAACTCTTCCATTTGCGACGGATCAACCTACCTTGGAAATTCCTAGTTTTTGAGTAAAATCCATATATCTACTTCGTGAAATTCTTGTGGAGACGTATTCATCTATAGAAAATTGCCCTGTGGAGACCTTTACAATGTTTTGTTCCCTATTGTGTGTGTGTCTCCACAAGGATACGAATTTGTAGTCACACGCACTCACACCAAAAAGTAAGGTCCAGCGCCGGGAGCTAGTAGTTGCCTTGAAGAGATAAAAAAAATAAGCAAGATTAAATGAAACGGGGCAAAGCTGTGCACATTCATGGAAAATGCTAATCAAAGTCGAGTTACTAGAGAAAGTTTGGATAACCATGTAAGGCTATCTACAGGATATCCAATTTCAAAAAAAAACACAACGCGAAAATAAACCAAAGACGGATACCCAATATCACAAACATGTCATGGCCTACACTCTCGTTTTTATGCAGATGATACACAACTCTTTGCCACCGTGTCCAATTTCTCCTGGTGATGACACGTTATACAACACCTGAATAAAATCCCCGTCATCTGATTGGTGGATCGTTGATCACATGTCATTGAATTATCCATACCATTGCACGGCGCTCGCGTGGCGCGCAGCGCACAGTACAATGGAAGTACTATTGCACTGTGATTAGAAGTACCATTTGCACTGTCACTGCACATGTTGCCGATGGTGGCGCTGTGGTGTTAAATTGGCAATAAAAGTTCTGAACTTATTGAACTGTTTGAGTTCTAAACTTATGGAAAAGTTTTTAATTAAGACAAATTGAATATGATATTCTCAACCTGTTGAACAGTTTGCATAAATTAAATATGATAACTCTGCACTTGTCAAACTTGTAAAAAAAAATTAACTTTAATAATTGGCTATTAAAAGTCAACCAATCAGATGACGAGGATTTATTCAGGTGTTATATAATAATGAATGTTTCATGTTCGTGCAATAGAAAGAATAATTTAATTCGGTGTCAGATGAAATGTTCCATTCCACTCGGCTTCGCCTCGTGGAATGGAACATTTCATCTGTCACCTCATGAAATTATTCTTACCATTGCACTCACAAACATTCATTATTTGTATAATAACACACCATATTCTTGAAACATGCCTGAAAGACATCCTCAAGTGGAAGACAGCCAATCTCCTCAAATAATTCAATACAGATAAAACACAGTTGTCATTTGCTCTCAGCGCCTCAGACACAAAGTCAACATCTCTGACATAGGAGATGCTCTGATGCCCGCTATCTTGGTGTCAACAAGTCAATGAACCTTGAATAACATGTCTCTTCTATTTGTCAGTCCTCTTACATGCATCTTTGACGTAGCAACAGTAAGAAACTCACTAATGGGTCATTCCATGTCAGACCAACGCACTTTTTTACCTTATGTCTTCCGATTTTGATAAAAATTGCTGTGCTTGTAGGTCCTGATGAGCAATGAATGCACACCAATTTTTAGCCCGATCCGACCTACCATATGGTCAGGGCAGAAACCAAAAAACGGAAATTTTAGAGTAAAATACCACCCTTTGGTAGAAATATGTCAAAACCATGTCAATTTTCATCGAATATATGCGAATTTGGTATCAAAATAATAAGAATTGCATGCTCAAATCAACTCTTTTGTCAAAACTAAATTTTGTGAAAAAGAAGGTCACGTTACCTCTTAATATGTTATCGTGACCTTTGACCCAATTTATGTAATAATGTATCATTCCGAAAATCAACGAAATGAAAATGACTTGATAGAACATGTCTTTCTCTATCAGAATCTACTAAATATCAATTGGGGTCTTCAAAATTATAACTTTATGACTATTTTTGTACAGTTGGTGGGTTACAAATGAGTCAATTTACAGACTTTACATTAGAAATCCACCCACACAACTTACTATCCTGTTTCTAAAGGTACTTAAATTAATCTTGGTTTGGGAATTTCTCATGTTTAGGGCTGATGAGGTATAACCAGACTCATAATATAAATTATCAGCAGTGGCGCACCCAGGATTTTGCTTTGGGGGGGGGGCTCATAGCTTTTTTGTTGTCAAATTTCTGTAGAAGATTGAAAAAAAATCAAACAACAAACAAATTGACAACCTTGGAGGGGGGTGGGTTCAAGCCCCTCGATCCCCACCACACCCCCAACCCCCCAACCCCCCCCCCCCCCCGGTGCCACTGATAATTAGTTATCCCACGAGCGCGCTTGGAATATTGGAATATGAAACAATGCAATGCTGCTGTGACCCATACGCCACCTGACGCACTACATTATTCCATGTTCCACGAGCCATAACGAATTTATCTTCAAGCAAACTTGACGTCGAATGCGTACATTGTACGTGGCGAGGGATGTAGGTACATAGTGTATCGGACCGTTCAACAGCAAATAAAAAGAACACAATACATACATGTACATGTACATTCGATATCTGGGGCACAATATAGCTGTGCAGTATTATATCAAATCACACTGTTGTTGCTATACATGAAGATGGACTAGTCAGGGTCTAGGATTCAAGGTTGCTTGAAGATAATACTCAATATCGCAATCAAGGTTACCTTACTCATTCATCACTACGCTTCTTGAAATTTAATGAGTCTCACAGACTTGGCATTTTTTTTCCTTCGAGATAAATTTCACCTGGATGTGTGTCCACTGTACTGGGTCCGGGTAAAAAGCATAGAGCTGTTGCGTACCCTAAACAGTAACTGCTGATGACAATAGACTCTCGAGCATTCGACGTCAAGTTTGCTTGAAGATAAATTCATTATCCCACTTGCGCTCGTGTTACACGGAATAATGTAGTGCGTCGGGTGGCATAAGGGTCACAGCAGCATTCCATTGTTTCATATTCCAAGCGCGCTCGTGGGATAACTAATTATCAGTGGCACCGGGTGGGTGGGTGGGGGGGGGGGCCTCAATTCAAAGCGCACTCGTGGGATAACTAATTATCAGTGGAACCGGTGGGGGGGGGGGGGGCTCGAGGGGCTAATTGACAAATTGACTAATTTGTAACCTACCAACTGTACAAAAATAGTCATAAAGTTGAAGATTTTAAAGACCCCAATTGATTTTTAGTGGATTCTGATAGAGGAAGACATGCTCTATCAAGTCATTTTCAGTTTGTTGATTTTCGGAATGATACATTAGTACATAAATTGGGTCAAAGGTCACGATAAACTATTAAAGGTCACGTGACCTACTTTTCACAAAATTTAATTTTGACAAAAAGAGTTGATTTGAGCATGCAATTCTTATTATTTTGATACCAAATTCGCATATATTCGATGAAAATTGACATGGTTTTGACATATTTCTACCAAAAGGGTGATATTTTACTCTAAAAATGTCCGTTTTTTGTGGTTTCTGCCCTGACCATATGGTAGGTCGGATCGGGCTAAAAATTGGTGTGCATTCATTGCTCATCAGGACCTACAAGCACAGCAATTTTTATCAAAATCGGAAGACATGAGGTAAAAAAGTGCATGGGTCTGACATGGAATGACCCTTATATATCATCTGCTGCAGAACAACTCATTCATACTTTTATATCATCCAGATTAGATTTTTGCAATAGTCTACTGGTACCTGTAGGGCTACCACAACATACGAATAATCTTCTCCAACTTGTCCAGAACTCTGCCGCACTCACAAGAAGGAAATCATCTTGCCACATAACACGTACCCGTCTTGTGCAAACTTCATTGGTTACCAACCCAGTACCGCAAACACTACAAAGTTCTCCTACTTACATTCAAAGCTCTTCATGGATTAGCCCCACTGTATCTGAAGGAAATGGTACAACATCTTCAACCGAGACCAGGTCTGAGGTCGTCACCCAGTATACTGTTTGTCCCGAAAACTCGTTTGGTGACCTACGGAGACCGTGCATTTTCCAGCTCTATACCACGTCTCTGGAACTCGTTACCAGACGAGTTAAGGGCAATACACCAATTATCTCTCTTCACACGCCAACTAAAGACCCACCTCTTCAATCAGTTTCTTTCTCACACATAATGACCTCTACCTTCACACACACTGACTTTTCACTGACCGGCGCCTTTAAATGACTACTATTTCCAGATACTGTGCGCCTTACAAATGCTTTGTTATAAATATTATTATTATTAAACAAGGTAATACGAAAAACGTTTAAAAAAATTAAAAAAATTAAAAAAACATTTTCAGAGATAAATATTCGCTTCTCATGTGAAAGGCACGCTATAATCTATGGGAAAGATGAGCTATAATAATAATAATAATAACACAGTTTTTATATAGCGCATCACACCGAGGTCTCGATACGCTTCACAGGAAACAACAATTAAAAGCAATTAATGGAACAGGTAAGTTTTAAGGAGTGTTTTAAATTCATTTTCGGCATCGACAGTTCTAATATGGTGTGGGAGAGAGTTCCAAAGCGATGGTGATGCATGCATGAAGGAACGATGTCCATAAGTCTTAGTGCGAGTGACCGGTACTGAGCAGCAATGTTGAGCTAGAACGGAGGGTGCGTTGTGGCTGGTATACTTGAATAAGTTCACGAAGGTATGCTGGTGCTGAGCCGTGGATGCATTTGTGAGTTAGGAGTAGAATCTTGAAGGCGATTCGCTCATTGACAGGTAGCCAATGAAGGGTGCGAAGAATAGGGGTTATATGTTGCCTGGATGATGTACGTGTAACAAGTCTGGCGGCGGAATTCTGGATGCGCTGAAGTTTCGAGGTTTGAGAATCAGGAATACAGTGTAGGAGACTATTGCAGAAATCGAGACGGCAAGAGATAAAAGCATGGACAAGCTTTTCCGTCGTTTGTTGGTCGAGGAAATTTCGAATGTGTCCTATCTTGTGGAGAGCTAGGTAAGAAGAGCGGCATATGTTGTTGACCTGGTTTTGCATTCTAAGGTTTGACGTGATAATAGTTCCAAGGTCACGGGCGCTAGTGACAGGTCTGCTGCAGGATACGGACAAAATAGTACCGTTGAGTGACATCTCATTGTTCACAACAAAATCCTGAAACAATGAGGTATAATTTTGCTTCCATTAAAAAATACTACTTCTTTCATTCATTTTTTCAAAGAAGCTAGAAGCCATAAAAAAATCCCAATAAAGTCGTCGTAGCTGCCAAATATCTTTCTTTGGGGGCGGTGTGATGTTGTATCCTTGAATTATACTTGTCTCAAAAGAGCCCTAAAAGATAACGTGTGATAAATATCCGCGACCCGTCTTTTCACAAAAATACAGAAGTGCTGAGAAAGTCAAAGAGCAGCATCTGGAATTACATTGCATGATATGTAATCGTCTCTTCATTCTTTGTAGTCGTTTTCTAAATTGATTAGAGTTGACGTAGGCAGATGTAATAGAATTATGAAACCTGTTTTCCCCCACCAATTATTGAATTGAATTTGTCATCAAGATTGAAGCAGGATCCATTTGTATCGCCATAATGAATTTCAGCGAACAACAACATGCTGAGATTACGGACATTGTATAGATTTAGAGGTGGTATATCTAAAAAGTGTAAGTTTAAGCGAGCAAAACGAGTTCAGTAAAGCTCATTTCCTCTTCAGTAATCAAACATTAACTTCGCATGCGACTGAAAATGCACATTAAGGGTTAACATTTGCAAAGTTGTCCGAAAAAAAAGGTACCGTAAATTACACTTCAGTCAATTGGTACAATTGTTATCGGTAATTTCTAACTTTACATAAAAATTCAAATCATTCATGCACACCACGTTTTCGTCCATACGGTAAAAAAAATACGCATAGGACCTCTTTAACTTTGGACAGCTACAGAGAGGCAGCTCAATCAGATGTGAGACGGAAAAAAATACCTGGAATACGTATTGATGTTCTTTCGAGCTATCTCTTAATGGAATTACTTCGGGTACATTGAAGTACTCCAGGTATTGCCCGAGAAGTGTTATCAGAAGCCACGATGGGGAATAATTATTCGCGGTAGTTTTATTTTTCAAATTAAACGCGCTTAGGAAACACAAGGTTTTTGATTTAGAGATTTTATTCTAAACGAGATCATGGGCGTTCCCCAGCACTTTTCGCAAGGATATCCAGTATTATATTCAGACGGTTTACCTTATTTGATTATTATTTTGCTGCGAGCGGACATGTGATCCAATCAATGGCTTTCAATGGGAGCTAGCTAGCGGTACCCATTTTTCTTGGGGGGAGGGGGGAGGGGGAAAGCAGTCTATTGCATATTCGGAAAGGGAGGGGCTGGACTTTGATCAGACGTTAGAGGGCGCTCTTCTCCCTTTTCTTATCGCTCTTTTTGTTTGTATTTCACAAATGGCAGAGAGAAAGGGGTGAGTAGCATCGATATAAACTTCTCTTCCGGTTTAGCCTTACTACTGGAAAAAAGTGACTGTCACTTGTTTGGAGGGGGCGGGGCCATTGTCCACGTTGCCACCCCCCCCCCCCTTCTGGGTGCACCGAGTTAAAAATAAACCCGTCAATGACATTGAGTTTGGATTTTTTGCAGCATGTTCCGTAGACTGGACCTCCAACGAACCGGGCGACTCGTCTTACATCATATTCATTTTCGTCATGGTTCTGGTCATTCCATTTTCGCTGATTGTGGGCTCCTACACACTGCTCATCTATGCCGTCAAAAAGGTGAGAATTCATTCATTCGTAAGGTTACCACTATAGGGTTACCAATTCCAAAAGAAAAGTGCACTGTCAATTAATTCATTATATGAAATCAACACCAAGTAGGCCTTTCTTGTATTCTAATGCTAAGTCCGGAAAGCAATTACTTTTTATGCCACCAAGTATGGTAACTGACTATAATGCGCATGCGTCAGTTGTTCCCGGATTCATGCTAAATTTATCTCGAAGCAAACACCTAAACAAATATAACTTTGAGTAAAACTGGGGGATGGTATCTCAGAGTTAATCATATCTATTAACCCACGGCGCGGCGCCGTCGCCAACCCCGAGCATGGGGGGGGGATACCAAATAGGGAGGCCCTCTACCTTAAACAATACAAAAATACATTGGTACGTCGGGGGATGGGAATTGCTCGACAATGGGGGGGGGGGGGGCACCAGCCCACCCCCTTGGCGACGGACCTGTCACGGCGTCCAATTTAATCTTAAAACAGAGGCTTTTATATACCCCTATTACAATGACACTTCAATCCCTCGTTTGAAATCAAGACGTCATAAACTCATTTAAATTGCATGTGGAACAATAATATTTCAGTCGCATGAATGCAGTCGCAGTCTCAAGCGTGCGTATTACATTACTACACCTGCTTGCAGAAGAAAAAAAATGTGCCGGAGAAGATAGTAACAGTGTCTTGATTTAAAAATGTGCGAACGAAAACGATTTGGAAAATCGTTGGAACTTCTAGGAAATCGTTCATAAAATGTCATGTTTATAAATCACTCACAAATGTTTGAAATACTTTAATTCTCCGCTACCGTCTTTAACATAGGTTTTCCCGGACAGTTTTGGAAAATGTACATTTGAATTTGTAAAACTAATTCGATTTGGCGCTAATTTTGAGAACGACGTATATTCTGGTTTCATTTTCGCAATAACTAGCATTCGATTTCATTTTGCATCACTCAAATAAATGAATGTGCATAACGTTTCATTTAAAGGATTACAAAAACATGATTAGACTTTCGGTTTGACGAATGCGTTGCCGATTATTACGAATGTGCAATCCGTTTCGCCAAAAATCTTTTCTTTTTTTGGACACGGGCTTAATTGAACATTCTTTTTCATTTGTTAAAATTTCAATTCGTATATTCTGCATTCAATTCAAATAAAGTATAAAGGCCTTTATAAATCATGATACAGCTTTGATTGATTCATTAATTAATCAATGTATTACAGGCATAATTGATCATTAATATGTTTGTTCTTAAATACACAAAGGCCTATTCAAAATAGGCAAACAAAGTGTTAAAAAGACATATTAATCTTACCAAAATAAAATCAATCAAAATAATCTCGTAGGCTATTATTGGGACGGTAAGGGGAAACATCACGTGTCATGTTACATGGGATCTGGGGATTTTTGTTGTTGGTTTTTGTCTTAATTTCATTATAATGTTTGTTTTGTATTTATAAAGTTCTCTCTCATTTTATCTTTTCGATTGCTTGGTTATATGATGCGTTTGTGGCAAATGATGAGCAAAAAAAAAGCGATTGTCTTCAGCTTAGGTTTTTATGTAGTATTTATTGTATTGGTATGTTTCAAAAGACTATACACCACTTGGTTAAGTTCAATCAATCATGAATATTCAATCATTCAATGATTCAATCAAACATTCCTCATGTTACTGTCATGGAATAGGAGCGGGTTAATGACTCCTATCAGGGAGGGGGTGTGGATGCCAGCTCGGGGGTTGAGGGTGTGTACCCTTGGGATGGAATAACAACTCTGGACTGCACTCACTTCCACGTGGACAGAACTTTAAAACGGTGGTTGTGTTTAAAAGTCCATAACTTAAAAAGTACTAGAGTGATTTGAATAATTCTTGTACTAAAAAAAAGCTTATGAATTTGGCTTTTATATCCTAGATTTTAAAAGTGCTACATGTAGAACTTCACTAAAACAACAGTCCCAACATTCTGGTTTCGTTTTTGACTCACCCAGTATACCTAGCTACTTTAACATTGCTCAGTCAAAATAAAGAGGAGCCGACATGCTTGTTAGTAACACACTCGATCGGGTTTCAAATTCGCGTCGAGCTTTGGCCATCTTCAATAGAGGAATCAATCGCGCAGCAAGCCCACGCACACACAAGTAAATTGATTGATGGTAATGTTTACGGGCATCCTGGGAAAGACTTGGAAAGACTTAATTTCCTGAAGAGATGGGTTGCTTTTATCATAGTTTCAGACTGCAGAAAGTATGGGGCCCGTTCGCTACACCCCCAAGTAAACTAGCTAAAAGAGGTAAAGGAACTGGAAAACAGGCTTCCACACTGGAAGACACAGAAATACACGCACTCGATAAGAGAAGAAAGACTTTAAGAAACAAGGATAAGTTATCACAGCACGAGAGGATTGAGCTTTTTGAAACAAGCAAGCTCGTCAAAACGAAAAGGAGACAAAGACGGAGGAGAAGAAGAAGAAGGATTAAAAAGATAGGATCCATCATCAAAAATGGTCCACAGCAGATTGACAAGGACAGCAATAATTCAAAATATGCTCAATGAGAAAACAAAATGGAGAGAAAACAACAGACAGAATAGAAACAGTGGAAATTTGGGCTGATTTCTACAAAGATATGTTTAGCTCAAAAACAAAGACGGGAGAGGATACAACTAGATCAAGCCCAGATGAATCAGACATACCACCAATAACCAACTCGAGAGTTCAAACTGCAGTCTATCAAATGAAAAGAAACAAAGCACCAGGTATTGATCAAATGACAACTGATATAATAATACTGGTTGGAGAGGAAGCCATTCAAGAAATGGTCACCCTATTCAACGACATTCTGAATAAAATGAGGATACCAAAAGAATGGATGGAAGCCAGAATCAGTACACTTTAAAAAAAAAAGGAGATAAAATGAAGTGAAGACCAATAAGTCTTCTTTCACACTTGTAGAAAATATTCGCAAAAGTAACAGCAGAATAGAAAGAGTCTTAGACGAACATCAGATCAGATATTTAACAACGGACCATGCAAGCTATAAACCAGACCATAGAGAAGATGAACGAATACAATCCACCACTGTGCATCGGCTTTGTGGACTTCAAAAAAGCCTTCGATTCCACAGAACATCCGGCCATGGTTAGATCATTATGAAATAATTATTTATAAGAATAGACGAAACCTACATCAACATCCTGGAAGATATATACACAAATGCAACAGCTAAAATTAACTTAGATAATGAAATATCAACTGAAATCAAGATATCAAGAGGGGTTCGACAAGTTCTCCCTGACTATTCAACGCAATTCTTGAAAATGTTTTCAAGAAAGCAGCAATGGAAGAGGAAGGATTCAACATCGATGGAGAATCATTATAGAACCTGAGATTTGCTGATCAATGTGGCCATATTCTCATACTCCATCAAAAGCCTAGAGAGACAAATGAAGGAGCTTGCACCAAGAATGCAACTGATTTGGGCTTAAAATGCACAAAGGAAAGACACAATTTATGACAAATACTGATTCTCGAGTCATTGTCAACATTGAGAATGAAATAATAGAAAAAGGAAATTAATACAAAATACTTTGGTCAAACCCTATAAGAAGCAAGACACAACTAAAGAAGAGGTACTCACAAGAATAAAGGCAGGATGTGGTCTATTCGGAAGATATAAATAAATCTGTTATGACAAAAAACTACCAATAGCATTGAAGAAGAGAAGAGCATACTTCCAAAAAATACTTATGGATGCCAAACATGGACAGTTGCCAAGTAAATTTACAATAAAAAGAATGATGCCAGGAATTACACTATAAGACCGGATACCCAATCAAATAATTAGGTGTAAAAACAATTGGAAGTAAATTACATCGCCACTTACGTCAACACAATGAAATGGAAATGGGCATGACATGTAGCCAGGATGGCAGGCAACAGATGGACAAAAAGAACAACAGAATGACAACCTAGAACAGGAAAAGATCTAGAGGCAGACCCCCCAAAAGGATGGAGAGATGACATATCAAAAGTCCGCGGTTGTGGGACAAGCAGCAAAGGAAAGAACAACCTGGAGGGGTCTGGCAGAGGGCTACATCCTGCAGTGGATGGACGACGCCAATCGGTAAAGGTAAACCGAACGAAATATCATTTACAATCTTTCTATTAACGTGCAATCACTCGTGGTTGAAGACGGTCGAATCTGACTCCCGGCTTTAAGCAAATGAAGGTCAGAAAAAAATCGCTTTATATTTAATCAGGAATGAAAATAAAATACTCGCCGGTGAACGGAAATCTTTGAAATGACAAGACGATCGGCTTGTGTCCTTGTAGTGACTAGATTTCAAGTCGGTTCTGTACATAACCGGACAAAACACACAGTATTTTGTCTATGAGAAGCGATCTGCTCATTGTTTTCATTCTTATTTGTAACGGAGCTACATTGTGTCATAGTTGCAAGCAAAAATCCATCAATCATGCTACATGCATGGTGCGAACGTCGTTTGAAATAAACACTCTGCAAGCCTGAAGCTTAAATAACAGAAATGCCAGCGAATACATCAGTTCTGATGAAGTAGTTGTCATCCAGAAGCCCGTATCTTCAATCCTATCAACGTTGCTGATTATAATTCCCCCAATCTGCAGATTTCCCCCAATCTGCAGATAGGCACATTATTTTGCCTATTAAAATTCTACACGGAAGACTGCGTATGAACATTTTATTACCATCCTCGTCATGATAATCTTTCTGACCAAATATATTGCCTGCTGATCCGATTGGGTGGGTTTTTTGTTTTACCTTTAGTGAATGATCTGAGCACATGCAGCCGGCTGCTTGCTCAAATAAACAGCCTTACGCTTAAAGGTGTGTTAAGGTTCAGTATTTAAGTTTACTAAAAAATATATAAACTTGAGCCACCAGATTACACAACGTTTTTACCAAGTTCAATCAAAAAGTTCAGTCAGGTCAAGTTATTTACACCAAGTTACGCCAAGTTAATTACGGCAATTTAGATTCACCGTCCTCACCTGTCACCACGAACTTACTGCAAGTCTCCAAACTTTGTCGTCAATTTTGTCGCTCGCCACCAAGTCACAGTATTATTGATCTTCGCCACCTAACTGTCATCTTATTAAACTGTCACCCAATTATTGAAGTTTGCCACTCCATTCCGCATCAGATGGAATGATTTTGTTTCCAATGACGACATCCTGACGATGGCAAAGGTAGATGACATTGGGATAGTGTGGATGCGATGCCAGCTGCGATATATTGGACACATTCGTAGGATGACTGACGAGAGACCGGTGAAAGCCCTCTTTTACAGTGACCTTTAGAAGGGCACGAGGCGCGTAGGACGTCCCCTCCTGCGTTACAATGGCGTTTTCAGAAGGACACTCCAGAGGACGTCTTCCCTTACCACCTGGAGCGACTTGGCACTGGATCGAACCACCTGGAGATCATACACGAGGAAAGCTTGTTGTGACTATGATACCGAACGGAGGCTGAAGGAGCTTGAAAGGAGAGCTCGCAGCTATCTCAAGAAAGGGAGCTGGCGATAAATGCCCGTGTCGGGCAATGGCCCCTACCTACCACTCCAGACGTTAAAGTCATCGGTCGAGTTAAATTGACATCTTAAATCAGCAATCGGTGCGTCTCATTGTTGAGTAACATTTTCATTTCTGACGTAATCTGTAGCGCAGAGGCTACATTAGTCTATGTCATTCTGCTGATGAGTGCCTTACGGTACGAAACAGTCTGTCCAGAGGAAAAATATGCTAAAGTTTGATTAACTCATATCCTAAATTTATTGCATAATGTATATAAATGTATAGTTTCTCGTTTTCTCATTTCTGATCATCTTTCTATACTCAGTTCAAGGTTCTCCTGGGCATACCACTGTCTTTTCAAATTCTGAACCCTATGTTCTTTAAAGGAGTATGAAAAATAGAAATTTAAAACATCAAAACACTATATGTGTACAAGTTTTTGCAACGTGTGATGCTGAAGCGGTTGTAACACTGAAGCTCCTGCCTTATGACAACACTGTCTTGCCATGAGTGCGGAAAACAAACTAGCATCAAAACCAAAGAGGTCCTGAAACACATTCCAAACAATACACGAAGACCTGATATTGAAAACGTATGTTAGTTGCAATTTAATATTGATGCAAATATCGAAACAAATGTTAAGTTGAAAACGAAATGCCAACTGTCTGAAAACAGGCTTCTATGTGGCAGGGAATGATTTAAAATGGTGTGATGCCTGCTGAAAGACACGAGGTACACCGAGGAATGCGGGTAATTACAAGTAGAGGCACAGAACGATACACACCGTGAAAACTGCATCGTTGTGAGATGATGAGAGGTGTTTTTTTGAAATTCTCTTGACATTGGAAATTCCAAACGTGGGATTGGGGCGACTGGACAATATTTTCCCAGATTAAGGTAACTGGCCATTGCCAGGGTTATTTCATGGAGATAACTTATATCTTTCTCTCCCCCCGCCCCCCCCCCCTCGACCTTCCCTGGATGTGTTACCGCTACCCAAGGGTGCTGGTGGCGTCTATTTTCCTTGAGCACTAATTGGGTTATTCAAATTTGTGTGACGTGTACGCTTTGGTAAAAACAAACTTAGCTGTAAGCTACTCACAATCCAATGCGTTGGAATGTTTTGCGGGAGAGGCGAGCCCTCGCCAATGTTCGTGAATAAAAAGCTGTGTTCAAGCGAAGCCCATAGTCACCATTCAGGGAATAGTGACGCGGTTGACTCCGGCATTTCCGGAGCTCCGGCGATTTCTTTATGAATATAAATGGAGCATTTATAAAGCGCTTTTAACAAAGATCAAAGCGCTGTACAAAAGTACAAATCTACGAATAAACAAGGCAAAAACAAAAACAAAACAAAAAACTTAATTTAAGAATAACTCAAGGGAACCAGGGGATAATGAGAGGTAAAGATGAAGGTGAATTGATTTAAAGAAACAGATGTGTTTTGAGCGATTTCTTGAAGGTGATGATTGACGATGCAAGTCGGATGTGTTGAGGGATCTTGTTCCACTCCCTGGGGCCAGCAATCGAGAAAGCTTTGTCACCTGTGGTTTTAGTGTTAATAGGAACATGTAATCGGGAAGTGTCTGTTGAAGACCTAAGCCCCGCCCTACCTGATTGATACAAAGAGAGTAAATCGGTCAGGTAGGAAGGAGCCAGACAAGTGTTGTGTTTTGTAAACGTATAGAATTAATTTGAAAAGAATACGTGATTCAATCGGCAGCCAATGTAATTGATGCAGGAGTGGTGAGGCCTCAGTAGAGCGGCTTACACAGAGAATGAGTCTGGCTGCACGGTTCTGAAGTTTTTGTAACCGTTTCTGTCTCCTTGACTTATGCCGTATAAAAGAGAAGTGCAGTAGTCAAGGCGAGATGTGATTAGCGAACGTACTGCATGGTGACAAGTGTTCTGATCGATGAACTTCCGAATACGATTTATATTGCGTAGATGAAAGTTGACAGATCTGCATATTGTTGTGACATGTTGTGACAGAGACATAGTAGAGTCAAAAAACAAACCAAGGTTTTTGATTGGTTTTTTTTTACGGTGACTATACGTTACATTACTTGCGGCAAACATTCGAAGTTAGCTGAGCAATATTGGTGCAGCTGAACAAGTGGTTAAGAACGAACGCTTTATTAAATCTACGGGAATATGAAGCACCCAAACCCCCATTATGTCTTTAAGAACATATATAATATCCAAACGCATATAAATATGAATTAATCCGGAATCAAATTGTAACACTAGTCTGATCCAAACGCCTGCATGTGGACATCGAATATGCATATGCAATATCAAACTTCTCATGTTCTTTGTACAAACGGATTTGAATATGCAATATCCAATATCGAATTTACTGTCATCACTGTCAATATTTACAGCCGTATAAATTTGACCGGTCTTTTAACATCGTGTAACATTTCATGAAATTGTCCCTTTCCGATTTTGAAAATGTGGAATATAATAGTCTGTGCGGCCCCTGTAGTTCTGAGATTGACAAATAACTTTTAGCTCGTCTGCCATTATGGGTATAACTTGATTGTGTTATCTTACACTTCAGGGGTCATAATACCTTTGACAATTATTTCTTTTTTTTTATTACCCGTTTCAGATCGCATCCAGTGAGGCGGCGCGATCTTCTCAGCACAAAGCCGACAAGAAGGTCACCATATTGGTAGTCGTCATGATCTCGTGCTTTCTGGTAGCCTGGACGCCATACTCGGTGTTTTCTCTGTACGTGGCGGCCAGTAAGAACAACACTGTCTCGCCGGTCGCTGCCTCGATACCCGCCATGTTCGCAAAGGCTTGCACCGTCTACAATCCCATCATCTACTTTCTGTTAAACCAACAGGTTCGTAGAGGCCGCTTTCTACTCGGTATTGGTAAACAACATCAGGAAGTGCCTGCCTGCCTTAAATAACACATCATGCCTTTGCAATTCCTGTCTGTCAAGTACTCTCTAAATTCCAGTGAAATAAGGGACTAGACGTTTTAAACTAAAAATCACTCTCATTTTGGATTGAAAAAGTCTGGAAAAAAGAACCACTTCAGTCGAAGCTCGAGTGAAAACTTGATCTTTACGACTGAAGAAATTTCACTCTAAAACGTCCGGTCCCTAATTTCCGACTGTGGGAGTGAACCTTCACTCGAATGGAGTGAAATACTCTTTGGAATTTAGAGAGTAACATACTACGAAAGCCCATTAGCGCCACTGCAAGTATATATGTTACAGATTATGTAATTCGTTATTACGGATTATTAATTCGTTATAACGGATTATTAATTCGTTATTACGGATTATTTAATTCGTTATTACGGATTATTAATTCGTTATTACGGATTATTAATTCGTTATTACGGATTACTAATTCGTTATTACGGATTATTTAATTCGTTATTACGGATTATTAATTCGTTATTACGGATTATTAATTCGTTATTACGGATTATTTAATTCGTTATTACGGATTATTAATTCGTTATTACGAATTAAGTCTGATGTTCTCAAACGTGGAGAGCATGTGACCAGGGGCCTATGAATATAGCGCCGCTAGGCGGCGCTATCTTTGCATACGTTTGCTTTACACCAGCACCAGCACGAATTAGTAATCCGTAATAACGAATTAAATAATCCGTAATAACGAATTAATAATCCGTAATAACGAATTAAATAATCCGTAATAACGAATTAATAATCCGTTTTAACGAATTAGTAATCCGTAATAACGAATTAATAATCCGTAATAACGAATTAAATAATCCGTTATAACGAATTAGTAATCCGTAATAACGAATTAAATAATCCGTAATAACGAATTAATAATCCGTTATAACGAATTAGTAATCCGTAATAACGAATTAATAATCCGTAATAACGAATTAAATAATCCGTTATAACGAATTAGTAATCCGTAATAACGAATTAAATAATCCGTAATAACGAATTAAATAATTCGTTATAACGAATTAGTAATCCGTAATAACGAATTAAATAATCCGTAATAACGAATTAATAATCCGTTATAACGAATTAGTAATCCGTAATAACGAATTAAATAATCCGTAATAACGAATTAATAATCCGTTATAACGAATTAGTAATCCGTAATAACGAATTAATAATCCGTAATAACGAATTAAATAATCCGCAACATATATACTTGCAGTGGCGCTAATGGGCTTTCGTAACATACAGCGGCAGTTTTGATAACAAGGTAGTTCTTGGCGCCTTTGTTCTTTCCGCGAAGACCCCAGGATCTTTCTCATCATCCCAGCCGGTGCATGCACTGTGCAGATTGGTTGACATTCCTGTTTCATTCTCCTGGATTTCCAAATTCAATTATTGGCGCTCACGGCGCTACAACATTAAAATGATGTAGCCGGTGCATGCACCGTGCTGATTGGTTGTCATTCCTATTTTATCCCCTGGGGTTTCCAAATTCAATTATTGGTGTTAGCGGCGCTACAACATTAAATGATGTGGCGCCATGAGCACCTATACTGATGGATACGTGCGCTTTATGAATACGCATCAGGATTATAATTTATTTCTAACTTTGTACCGGCGCCGGTTCTCCCTCCCACACCTGAGACGTTTATCGTTTCCTGGCTTTTTTTTGTTCCTGGAATTTTGGCTGTCCGTGGCTCAGGAAGCTTCCTTTATCGACGCCAACACATGTCGATTGCTAATTCATTGGAGGTGATAGTCACGATTCGCTGAATCCTCCACCCACATGGGTCTTCGTTGCAACGCTATACGTGCAGCGTTACCTGTTTCACTTATTTGGCTTACAATTTCTACTAGGCCTGAGACAATCATACGTGAAGAAAACATGAGAGCCGTAGAAAAAGATGCTTGGCAGGCGATCAACTCAGGAACTCACGCAAACCTTATGAGGACCACCTTATTAGGATCATTATTGTAATTTTTCTCAACATTTCCCATAAGGTTTATTCAAAACCTGTCGAGGACTTGGCTCAGGTCCTCGGTGTTATTGTTATCGCAAATCAACAATTATCCCAAGTCCTCAGTCGTGAAGGATAACAAGGTCGCTCACACTCTTTGTAAACACCGTCAATCGTAGACCCCGTCGTCCCTCTTTAAAACACACCGACTTTTAGGAAGACCTCCTATATGTTTTGACCACACACCTAAAAGAAAAGTGGACCTTCGATCAATCGATGACCCTATTGTCCTTTATAACACCTCGCCCACAGATTCTGTATCTTGATTGGCCGAAATTGAGTCACCTATGGTATTCCCTATTTTTGCTTTCTTGCTGTGCACGACGCAAAGTACTATACCCGTAGCAAGCAAAGTGCTATACCCAAAGCAACCAAAGTACTATACCCAAAGCAACCAAAGTACTACGATGAGGGCTGGTGATGCGTGAATGTCCGACTCCATGAAATTATGGACCCATCGGCATTATTGAGCATGCGTAAGTATGATAATAGCTTATTCCTAGGCCTGTACAGGAGCGTGAATTGTCACGTGTGAGGGAGTAACCAATAATAGGGAAAGGGAGTCCGATTTTCATAGGAGTCGGAGTTTCACATGACACCGGTAATACATGCATATTACATTCTCGATTGCATTGCCATGCTTGGCTAGGAAACCACAATGCCTGAGACAACAATCTGATGTTTGCGTTCCGTAAATTCGATCAGAGATGTATTAAACCCCGGAGGTTTGCCAGAAGAGTCAAATTTGTTGAGAATTTCAACTTGATTTAACCACAGATCCTACGCACACTGCACTTTTCGGAAGAAGCTCGATTGCTCGATTTTTATTTTTTTTGAATTTTTTGAAGAGAATGTTTACGCGTCTTTAAGCCATTACGGGTCAGAGAAGTTTCACAGAGAGACAAATTGTTGCCTGCGGGAAATCTTGCTGATTCCTTTTCAAGGCTGACAGGGGAAATTGAGATTCAGTGTGCTTCCGCTGTTGTGGAAAGTCCGATGTGTCAACAGGCATTCCTCTATTACATTGTTTAGGTTGTGCACATTCTAAAAAGTCCTGGGTCAGATTTTTGTCTCTTTTACCGGGTCAGAATTGTTTGACTCAATCTGAGTCATAATAACTCGGATTGGGTCTGATCTGCCCCTCTCAAAGGCCGAATTTCGCTTCTGTTATCATTTGACAAGATGTTAATTGTTTTCAAATGTCTCACAGATCGGTAATCTGTTCTGCCCAATAATTTCTCCTTGGCAGCGACTTGACATGGACAGAGACTCATATAACTCCTGAAGCTGTAGTTCCGGTATCGGGTGGTTCTCCACCTCCGTGAGATGATTCAGAAAAGGCTCGCATTTGACAACAACAAAAATATGCATCCATTCCAGATACTATTACGAGGAGCCAATTAGCCACTTATGTAATATGTCAATAAAATAAGGAATTCAAATTCCATCGCCTACCCGGAATTAAAATAACACATCCCGGCCCTGTGCATGTATAGGGAAACTAACACCTTGAGTAATCTAATGGAGTTGCAATAGGTGTGTGACAACTCCTATACGTGTATTTGCCTGAGAAACTATTATTAAACCTCGATCGGGGGGCCGCCCGATAGTCCGAAGGACCGATAGTCCAAAGGTTCTTTAGTCCGAAGGTTCGATAGTCCGAATGCACAAAATTTCCATAAGAGGGGGTTCGTAAGTCCGAAAATGAAATAAGGTTCGTTAATCCGAACATTTGATGCAATAGTCCGAAGGTTCATTTATCCGAAGGTTTATTAGTCCGAAGTTTCATTTATCCGAAGGTTCGATAGTCCGAATTTAGAATAAGGTTAATCAGTCCGATGGTTCAAAAGTCCGAAACGAAAATAAGGTTCAATAGTCCGAAGGTTCATTATTCCGAATTGACAATAAGGTTCGATAGTCCGAAAAGACTATAAGGTCCGAATGTCCAAATCGACAATAAGGTCCGATAGTCCGAATCGACAATAAGGTCCGATAGTCCGATTCAACAGTAAGGTCCGATAGTCCGAAGTGTCATACTGACGAACCGTATTGCCCATTCGGACTATCGAACCTTATTCTCAATTCGGACTATCGAACCTTAGGCCTATTGTCAATTCGGACTATCGAACCCTACCATATATTCGGACTATCGAACCTTATCATGTATTCGGACTATCGAACCTTATTGTCGATTCGGACTATTGAACCCTATCGCCCTATTCGGACAATCGAACCTTCGGATTAATGAACCTTATTCTATTTTCGGACTAATGGGCCCTTCGGACTATCGAACCTTCGGATTATCGAACCTTCGGACTATTGAACCTTCGGACTAACGAACCTTCGGACTAATGACCCTTCGGACTAAAGAACCTTCGGACTATCGAACCTTCGGACTATCGGGCTGTAACCCCTCGATCGTGCAGTTGGTATATATTACATTAATTACAATAAAATATAGCAATGCTGTGCAAATCCAATCGGTGTTACCAATTCAAGCATAATTTCACTTTCAACAACATCATAATGGACTATATATATCGGCTTGCGGATGCCGCGGCCATTGACATTTCTGACATGAAGCTCTATTACGGAAGATGTCCGTATCGTATTATTAAGCAACAGTTCGCATTTAATACAGGCCTTACCCCCCGGCAGGTGTTTCACTATCTAGAGTGTCTTTAATACCAGATTGAGATGGGAAAAACTGCCATTATGACTGTGTTCAATTTTTACCGAATCCCTGTAGTCACATGCCTGCAGTCTTCGTGATGTTGATTATATTCGCTTTTTACGTTCGAAGTCGTAACCCTATCACCGTGGGGACGAAGATTGTTACGTGGACGGGAATAGCAACACACAAAATCTGCACGTCCCCCGTTCGTTCGTTTTAAGTAGAGAAGGGTCAAAGTTGTGCATCCCGAGGACATCAAGCCAGGTTCTAATGATTCTACATTGCTCATGCAGTCTTGTTAGCTACCGACGGATAGCTGTTTGTTTTGTTGGGTTCTCCGTGTTCCGTGCTCACTGTATACCGCGTTTTGTTTTGCATTTTCGGCGATACTTTCAGTACTTTTGCTTCCACGATCGATTCTTTTGATTAAGAGTCAGTTCTTTTGTCAATTGCAAAAGCCGCTCTCATACTCAAGAAATCTTTTCATACTATCAAGATTTAAAGCTCTGAACGAAGTCACGCAAGACAATTTGTTTTGCACAACTGGAGGCAAGCAAATGCACAGGAATTCTCCTGGGAAAAACGACGTATACCTTGTCCTAATAATTTATGCAAATACAATCAGAACATTAAAGAGAATTAAAATGTGTCGGTTGTTTTCCTCTTGGCTTGGAGAACAAGCGTGGAACAAGCTCAGATTGCTTGTGAATTGCCATGCGTGTAACCGCTGTATGGCCTTCAAGAAAAGGGTATAATTACGACATCAATCTTTCTGCTAATTTCCCTTCCCTCAGTTCAAGGACGCATTCATTGATATGATGTGCTGTGGACGCAATCCATTCAGTAATGATGATGTCATAGACGACACAGCAAGAACGAGAGCCCTCAGACAGGCTACTCGCCAGCCTAGAAACATCACAGGTACGGACAACCGGCCTGGACGTGAGGACATCTCGGCTAGCCTCGGCACCCAGATGTCGGAGATTGGGGCAACTCCTGCCATGCCGCGACGCCCCGTCAAGATCGCCGACTGGGGCGCCAAGAGCTCCAAGGACGATCAACCTCAGCCCGCCCTAGAGAAGAAAGTGGAGGAAGGGGAAACCCAAGGCGTGATGGAGACTCCGGTGGAGGTCTTCCAGGTGGACGAAGAGTCTCTGGACGAACAGCAGGCCGCCAAGAACGAACAGGTCAAAAAGCACAGTCGGGGATTTCATAAAAGTCGCAAGGTTTGCCCAGTCGAACAACCTGATGTTGAGGAGGCATGAACAAGAATAACAGAAGACTTTCAGAATTCTTAGGGTGTGAGACACTTTATTTTATGAATTGCTCAGACTTATACTTTCGGATGGGTTTGTTTTTTGTAAATACGAGATGACCCGCATGAAAATAATTGTTCAATTTGGGAAGACGCTTTAATATGCGAAGTGTGTAATAATCTTGCGATTGTGAAGTTTACATGTTGATTTTTTCATACAGTGAATTCAAATTTTCGTTTGAAATTGATGCATATTTAAACCTTTGGTTTCCCGCCAGGATAGATATCTGATCCCTTACACATACTTCTTGAGACGATAACGGATTTGTTCACGGCATTTTATTTTACCAGCTATACCCTCTCAGCGTTTTATCTTTAAAGAGCCCATGCAATGTGTTTTTTTTAATCCAATCCTTGAATATTTGCCAATTTGCAAGGGTATTTTGGTGCCTTTTTGTTTGTTATGCTAACGCGATTTTCCAGATTCATGAGCAACAGTTTAATGTGTAATTTCAGGCAGAAACCTCCATGTAACAGCTATTTCAGCACCAGAAGTTGCCAGCATTTTGGATATTGTGCTGTTGTCAATTTTCTTTTCTTTGGTGATTCGTTGTTGTGTCAGTATAGGCCTATGGCAGTAAGCCAACGGGCAAACTTTTCTCACATGTTTTGAATGCACGCATTTTTAGATTCAAAATTTGAATGGAAAACCCCTCAACTGAACAGTGTGTTCAAAAAGGAATGTCAATTAGTTTTCAGACATTTAAGGGGAGTAGAACGTTCCACAAAATGTGTTTCTAAGAAAGGGGGTCCTGAAAATTAGCAAAAGGCGGACATGTAATTGTGCAAGCAACTTACGAGTTGCAAGTTTCACACTCATCCGAAGTAATTTATTATAGATTCTATTTTTTTATCGAGCAAACGAGCACATTGACGGTTTGCACCCTCTATCACGCATATCTCCATCATCTACGAATTCCAATGTCAGTGTCAGTTGTTACGCCAACTATTACCATATCGTGACCAAGATAGAAATGTTAAGATGTTAATCCAGTGAACTATAGTGTGAAATCTGGACTCCGTGAAACACGGACCCTTGGTTGTATTAACCTATCGCCGTTTGCGAGTTACCAAAGCCCCTTAGACAACCCTATGGAATTTTGTACGCTATAGTTTAGTTTGTCTCAGATTTTGCGCGTTCCGCGTCCATTTTGTATATCATGTTATTGGGACAATATATTTCACAAGCTGCATTGACGCGATTCCAACGCGATTCTACCGCGATGGGTTAATATATTGCCAAAAGTGAACATAATAAGGACAGTGAAAGGTCAAGTGTGAGAGGCAAAAGAGGCAAATATAAGGCAAAAGAGACCAGATTTCTTAGGAATTCCACATTTCAAGGCAACGTTACAGCACCGTTTGTGCAGTTTTACCACTTAGGAAGTATCATACTCTTCTCTGTCTTATTCATTTCACTCTTTCTTGCAAATGGATATAAGGGTTCTTCAAAAGTGCACCGGCCCTGTAGCTCGGAATTGAAGAGAGATATAGCGGTGGGAGGAAATCCTAGAAGGATAATCCAAGTAGTCAACCTGCAGACACTGAACTCCAGTCCGAATGTAGGTCAAGTGGTTGGATGAGGAGGTAATATCACAAGGCCAACGTGTCTTCAGCCCTCCTGCGATTTGTAATGTCATGAAAACGAAACCTGCACCCGATTTCACGAAGCGCTGCGACGCGTCGCAACTCAAGTTACGACGTGTAACACGTCGCAACTCGCGACGCGTCGTATCATCCATTTCACGAAAGTTGCGATGTGTTGAACGCGTCGTAAGTTCCTTGACAACGGCTTAAAACACGTCGCAAGTTACGACGTGTCTAGTGGTCATCGCAAAACACGGTGATGAAGAGTCCCTTTCTAAGCCAGTTTAATGCCATAAACATGACAAAAATGAGATTATAATACCAAGGCAATGTGTGTAAAGTTGTAAATAGAAAATTCATTGAATAATTATGAATTAGACTGGAATATTGCAGTTGAAATTTCAAAGTAGCTATATAGTCCACTGAGAGCTTGTTTTCCTTCAAAATTGCATCGCACGGCCGCCATTTTGTTTTACGTTTTAACAAATTTCGAGCTGAGATCCGACGACTCTTTGTTGAATATCACACGACTATTTACTGTACGCTGACTAAATACAAACAGTCACCGAGTTGTGCTATAAATACACCTACGACGCGTCGCACGTACGACGTGTTTCGCGAAATGGATCGCAGGACGCGTCGCAGCTCTGCTGCGACGCATCGTAGAGATACGACGCGTCGCATCGCTGCGATGCATCGTAAGTTACGAAGAGTTTGATGAAATCGGATCTGGTGTTGTCGCATTCAGGTCTTTTAAAGCAGATGAAGCACGCCCCCGTATTTTGTATTATTTAGGGCATTATTCGAGAGTGGCATTCAGAATCATGGACTCGACGAGGCCTAGAGAGGCCTAATAACATATTTATGGGAAAATTATAGTGGTATAATATACAGTAGCAATGGCGTGTTATTCTTATCTGAGCGCTTATTTGGTTATCATCAGTGTATATATATAAGCGTAGGCCTGGAATTGAAATGGATAACAGTGATTCGTAAATCGGTATTTATTCTATAACACGAAATAAGCCTTGTATTCGGTAAGGTAATTAACGTACATGTATTAACTATTTTGTTTTTGTTCAGATATATTAATATTGGATGAGTACGTCGGGAAAAGAGGCTGTTTGTCCAGCGAAACCGTTGAACCGAGACTGATAGTGTATTATCGCTTTGGAGATTATGTTAGCTCGAGTGCAATGGCGCTCAATTCGGGGATTCACCGTGCGCCCCCAAGAGTTTGCCATGGAGAGTCAATTTTTTCAAGTTAACGGTCGACAAAACAAGGCCTATTTGAATGAGTGTCGGTATCTACTTGAGCCAATTTGTTATAGATTGGGGCATATCATTCTGCCGTCTTACAAAAAAACCCACCATATTCATTAAAAGAAAAGGACAAACAGATACTCGAATCGTACGCTTACGAAACTATAGTATACTGACAGGAAAAACTAGCAATTTCAAATGTCCTGCGCTGCGAATTTGTCGACCAGCTCCCACAACGCACTGGGAAAATGAACTCTCGGTGGCAAACTCTTGGAGGCGCACTGCATCGTGAATCGCCCGAATTAAAGTTGGAGTAAACCCAACTTCGTTCCCAGTGATTACTTTATCTCCAACGTCGTTTCCAATAGTAAGTCCTGGATAGGAAACTTTATTTCTGTATCCTGATTCGGTACCGCAATTGGCTAGTAATGGATTTTTATCGTGTACTTGGTGTTATTATTCACAACGTGCAGTACGTGTTTTCGCGATCATTCGTCCACGCCTTCTCGAAAATACTAATTTCCTTTCCAATTTGTTCATATTAATATGAAATATGATACTGCATGTTGTCTCGATAATATCGTAACAGTTTAATTAAATAAATCGCGTTTTCGTAACTCACGCCATGCTCGAGCTTCGACAAATTGACTCTGTTTTTACCCTCGGACACCGCATACAAAAACAATTGCTAATGTAACGCACATCCAGGCGCCAGACTATTCCTCATTTGCATACGTGTTCAAAAATCTTGCACATGCAAATGATCCAATACCAGGGTGAGAGAGCAGGTAGTGATGGGCGCGTACTGTTCGACACCGTGGGGACGAGGTTGGGGTAAACCGCAAACATGACCGCAAAGATGTTCCTATGTATCGTCAGACCCCCAAAAATGACGAGGATATGTTTTGACGCACTCGCATTCAATTTGCGTTGGACAACGCGTGCGCGTTGCAAGCGTTACCTTTGTCAATTATTATGGTGACTCGAGGATAAGTGTCGTTTGAAGCTCTGCATATAGAGGAGTCTTTAACTAGTTGTAGTATGAGCTTGCGGGTACGCCATGAGAAGATGGTGTACCAGCAGGCTTCACTATTTTATTGTATGCATTTCTGTTTGGTTAAAAATACAAATTGTACGGTTGACGCCCCCAAGCAATGTATCATTCTTGGTCTGATGGGATTTGAAGGTCTGCATGGAGAAGTATAATCAATGAGGCTAAGTTTGCAGTAACACCATGTATTACAAATCTCTGCTGTGAGCTTGTGAGGTTTTGAAATGAAGCGGGGGAACTGCATGAAAATAATATGGCCGACAGGGAAATGTGGAATTAATCGCGCTCGGAGTCTTGAAACAAGCCCTCTTTTAAGTGTGTGAGATATAAAAGTACAAGGATGGGGCTTAATAACTTACCTATACTAACATGTACACCGTTATTATGAGGCTGTAAATAAAGCTGCATTTTGTCAGCTTCATGTCAGATAAATCACTGTACAGTAGTGCAAATTGACCGCTTTATGTCAAAGGGAAAAACTCTCAGCGTAATGATTCACTGGGTTTACTCTGCAAGGACCAATGCATAATATTGAGAAATACTTCACTTGCAGGGTTTCAGTACTTTTAGAGTGCAGGATTTTGCCCCTATGTGGGGTCCAACACTGTGTCCAAATTAGGGTGTCGGAAGGGGGCTTCACATTAGTAAACATTGGGTCATTTTTGTACGTTTGTATATGTCAAAATGGAAACCCAGATCTATTCCCGATCCACACACATCCCTCTCTAACTCACCGGTAAAAACATCTATGGGTCTATGACTGCTAGGCGAAAAATGTTCACGTATTCATCATTCAAAAAAAATCTTCGACCTTCTTATTCGGTGGATGTTTGAACAAGCCATTCACGTATTTGCTTGCGCTTATCGCACATACTCAAATACCAAGCTTATACATGTATAATGGTTATAATTATGAAGTGTATCATAAATGTGGTATTTGGACCAATGTTTTTGTTAGCGACTTGGAGAGTGTTTGTTTATTCTAAAGATGTTTTCAAGAAGCAATATTGGTGTCAAATGGCGCTTTTGTACAATAAACGTGGGCAGTGTGAGTTACTTGGATGGGAATAATATAGGAAGTGTGCACTTCTATTAGTTCGAAAATTCACGCACTGAACTAGTCAAGAACATAATGCGCATGCATTACTATAGTACAATTTATATTTTGGAAACGAATATAAACAAAACTAAAAGCTTTAATAAATCATTAAGAATTATTAATTGTACTTTGATATAATGAAATGCATAAAGTGTTGTATAATGCGTTCACCAATGCCTCGTAATTATTTAACGTTCATGTATGAACTTATCATGCAAAGCTTGAAATTGAAAATTAAGACGGCTGCATCTTTCGCTTGTAATCTCGTAGAATGATCTCCAAGATTTGTAACCAGTCTTGTAGATGCGGTCATGATTGGATGTGGTGAGAACGAGCATTGTGCGATGATTTAAAAGTGTTTTTTTTTTCAGTACAAGGTGGAACGTTTAATTTTGAAGAACAGTGAGGCAATTTTCTTATCATAATATCAACTGCATTGGAAATGTTATATGGTGCTTCATCTATATAAACAACCCACAAATACTCAGTTTCTGTTTTTCATTAGATAA